GAGGCTGGAAAGCTTGAGAGATGGGCATCTCGCCGCTCTCCATATTCTTGAAGTAGATCTGCCAAGAGACGTGGACACTCTCAGGATCTTGCCTCCACTGCATGTACATCTCATCGATGTAGCTAGCGGTGCTTCCGGAGAGGAAGTTATCGTTAGGATCGGGAGGCGCCGAAGTTGCGCTGGCTGCATAGTTGCGACGAGCAGCAACGGCCAGAGGGCGACGGGAGGCGGCGAGCTTCCATGATGATGTACGGGCCGAGAGGGTCGAGATAGAGGTGGTAGACGAGGCAGCAGAGCATCGAGCACCGCGAAGGAGCTGCGAGCTAGCTCTGCAGAGCGAATTCCTCAACATGATGCGTTTGTGATTGTGTATGTGGAGGAACAGAACAAGTATAGGGAGGTAAAAAGGAACTAGAGGATATGAATGAGAAGCATCCCTCGACGAACTTGATCACGACACGAAGGAGCGGCGGAGTAAGTCAACAAAGGGTTCCCCGTGAAGACTGAGGAGAGAGAAATGGACCGAATTGATGGATGGATAAGGTGGATAGGTAAGTAAGTAGTTGGGAGGGACACGGGAAGAACAAGTAGACGACGGGAAGAAATTGTTTTAGGTATGAGCAGCGCTGGAGCTCAAGTCGCTAGGTACCGTACGTACCTGGTCTGGCCTGGCCTTTGATGTCCTTCTGTTGGTAAAAATGCTATGACGCCCCCGGCAAACCCGGTTCTGGCCGCCAGTGATTGGGGTTCTCATTGGCTAGGGGCTCCCGTAGCGGTTCGGTCACCGAGAAAACTCCGTGCGACACACGGTGCAGGTCAGGCAGTGTTGGAGGTTTTCATGGGGAGAATTAGGTAAAATCCAAGGTGAAAGGTGACCGGCCTTGATTGTCCGGAAACCCACATGACACACTGTTTTGGAGGTCATCGTGGACTTTTGCGGCAGCTGTCATTGGGGCACCTTTAATATTTTTGGGGCTTTGGGGTCACTTTTCGGAGACTTGAACTTCTTTACCGAGGATCACCGTGATGCTTGAGCAAGGAGAGAATGATTTCCGGAAACGCTGTACCGTTCAGCGTTCACCTCCATGACACCCGTTGAGCCGGGCCATCGCTTGTAATACTTCCCCACGATTTTGGGGCATTTGATTTTCAATGCCGACCAATTCATGTTGATGGCTTTGTGCTTATAGTCCAGGGGGGCTAGAATAAAACCTGGTGGTGCATTTGTGGAAATAGGGAGATCTGCCTCACACAGTCTAGCCTAGGGGGAAAATTGTGTCAGGATAACAAGCTGGTCAAAACATGGAGTGAATCGGGGCGCACAGGAAGGAACTGAAGTTTTAGTTACGTGGTTCAAACAGGGTCAATAGCCGACACCACAACGGTCGAGTTTGGGTTGGGACAGTATTTACTGTGCTGTACTGCATTGTAGGCATGTTCATGCATTCATCATCTCATGCATTTCAGGTTTTGGAGAGCGTTTTGAATGCGTCAAGGCTTGAGTCACGAAAAAATAGGCAGTTTGAATGATGATTCACCAGCCACATTCAAACATTTAACTACCTACTCATGTAGCTACCTACTAAGTTGGAGAAGCTGAGTGTCCCATGCGCGTCCAACCAAAGCTCTGACGTATGCGGATCAGATACAGCGTCAATTCTACTGTACATACATACATGTTCTGACGCCCCTGGCCGTTTCTTCATGCTCCGTGTTTGTTTTGGTACAGCCCAAGTTTTCACTACTAACTCATTATAATTTAACATTGGAGGATTCATGGCTAGAGGCTTATTGCCTATAGATTACCTAGTACTTAATCATTGATAACCACCAGATAGATGGTCACCAAGTTGATACCTTAGTGGGTATGGTCCGGTAACAGGTTGGAGTCGGCATAAGATGTGCTAAAACTGAGAAAACAGCAAGCAACTCCACATACTTTTTACGCCGTCACCTGGTTAATTGATTGGCTTGATGATGACTTCGATGTGATGGTGCAGTCGCATATGAAGTTTGAAGAAAGCAATCATCATAGGTATTCCAAATGAACCTCCTGCGGTTCAACTCTACTAACTTATGTCCTGAGTTAGACTACTACTCTGTGTGTTAGATGATATTGGATGCTTGCTGCCTTAGGTAATCATGAAATCAGTGGCCGTAAGTGGGTCTTGAGTGAACAAAGCACTGAAGAGCAGGCATCCAATCCAATCTGATATAGCGGCTGGAAGCGTCTCCTCAACCGTGAGATAGATATCCGTACCTATCGCACTGTCGCATTAACAAAATAGCCCATCGTCGATATGGCGATCCCAGTAGGACGTACCCTTTTCAAAAAGAAGGAGGGCATTCTGACTCTCACAAGTGACCATCAGCTGGTCACTTGGACTCCTAATTCAGGAGGCCCTGCCACAGTCTCACTAAACATCAATAACATCACCAGTAAGCTGAGAAGCGGTTTTCGTCCCGTGGTTCGATTCCATTATTGACATGAATTCGCGCCAGACCTCCAGCAGACCCCAGATTCTTCACCAAAGGTTATGCTCAAAATCTTTGAAAAGGTTGGAGACGCAGAGCCTGCTACATATCTCTTTCACTTCAACACCGCCGAGGCCAAGGATGAGGCAAAGGCTGTCAAAGATCTGTTATCCAGCCTGTTAGCTTCTACGCGCGGCAACGATGCTTCTGTCCAAAAACCATCCGGCGCAAGCGGTGGCTCTTCAACGCCAAACCCAGGCACTGGTAGTGGTTCCGCATCCATGGCCTTCGCCAGCGCTGTTAACTCACAGAATGCTTCATCCTCGCGCTGGTTCGATGATTCACAGCTCAAGAACGACATCGAATTGCAACAGTCGCTGATGAGAAAAGACACAAGTCTGCATCAAACATACGTTGAAGCAATGCAGACCAAGCCCGACTCCTTGTCAGGAGCCGCCTTTAATTCACAGTTCTGGTCAACCCGGACAAATCTTCTCCGAGCCCATGCCATTGAAATAAACCAGAAGAAAGGAGCCTATAATGTTCTCTCAACTGTCAAACCCAAGACTGTTGATGGCGAACTAAAGTTAAATATCAGCGTAGAGCAGGTGCAGATGATATTCGCACAACATCCTCTGATCAAACGTGTATACAACGAGAATGTCCCCAAAATATCTGAAGCGGACTTCTGGTCCCGTTTCTTCCTCAGCAGACTTTCCAAAAAGCTACGCGGCGAGCGAGTCGCTGAGAACGACCCCAATGACCCTTTGTTCGACAAATATGACCCTGCTGAGAATACAGTTGCCTTTCAGAGCAAAATCATGGCAAACCAAGTACCGCATTTTATCGACATCGAGGCCAACGAAGAGAATCAAGGAGGCTTCAAAAGTGGAAACGCGAAGGATGTCGAGATGCGTCCTAGGGCCAATATACCAATTGTGAAGACCCTCAATAGTCTCAGTGAGAAGATCATGGCCAACGTTGCACCTTCTGATGTCAACACTGATGATCCCGACGGCGGTTACAACACTTATGTCCAGCTGGCTTTGCGTGATCTGAAGGGCGACGCGAAGGAGCATCGTATTATGCTCAACGTGAAAGAACAGAACAAGTTCTTTTCAAAACATGACTCTGCCCCCTCGAAACAAGCTGCGGTTTTCGAAAGACAAGTTCCTAGCGAAGTTATGTTCGAGATAGTGGGAGACCTTGAGACTCTTGAGAGCGATGGTGCTGGCGGAATAAATATACAGGCAGCAATGGGATTTGATGAAGAGAGCGAAAGTGACGAAGACATTCCCAAACGGCCACATGTTGGATCACGATTCGCTCTCTTAGCTGCTGATAAGGACATCATGAAGGGCGTACGCCAGCAACGCGCTCAAAAATACGGCCACGAGACGGATGCAGCTGAGCCCATGGGACTCCCTGTTGAGGTTTCCCGCAAGTGCAGTCTTACCCACGCAACGACCATCGAGTTTCTGCATCAATTCTGGAACGCATTCCTCTCAGGAGACCCGGACCGCGCTGGTGAGTTACAGTACCTAGCCGAGTCTCTCGGCCGCTCACTGGCACGTATCAACGCCGTTGCAGAGGAAGCCGACAAGGAACGCGAGGAAATCATTCGCAACCGAAAGAAAGAGATCCGAGATCATTTCCAGCGGACCGGCAAGAAGATTAGATGGCGATCAGACAATGTCGGAGGCGGCAAAGCTGCCGTGATTGCTTTGATGCAACCAACTATGAATGCTTTGGAGAAGGCTCAAGCCGACTACTCGAGGGCTCTCGCAGCAGAAGGAATACAGATATCGACTGAAGCATGATCCTTCTAAACCCGTTTCAGTAAACATAGTGAGCTTAGGGGAGAAAGCATGGCGGATCGGTGAAATATAAAAGGCATTTGCAAAGCATTTACCCCAATTCATCGAGGATTGTCGTAAAGTGATGTTTTGGTCACTATAGTCACCGTTGATATCCTCTACCCAATTTCTACTTTGGCTTCTATGTCTACTCCCACCATGATCTAAGTTTAGCCAGTAATTGCTTCAAACTAACGACACATTAGGCGCGTCTTTGTGGAGGTGCCTTGGCCAATTTTATGGGTTTCAAATGTTTCGTTGCCATGGATCGCCTCAAAGAGCGTCAGGGCCAGTAATGTTGCTCATTTTCATCACGGCAGCCCGAGTTGTACTATCAGTGTTGAAGGCTAGATAGGTCAAATGAGACTCGTTTTGCAGTCATTTGAGGGGTTGCAGGCTGAATAATCTCCAATAGAGTCTAAGTGCCCCATTACGACAGTCATTCCTGGGCCTCTGGATCGCGGCTCAGTGTCTGGTCATATCATTCTATAGTGTATTAGTTCTTTTTCCCAATGTCAACCAAACTCGCCATTCAGTTCAATCCATCATAAGGGCCTCTTCGTTGGCCAAGTCTATATATGTGTGTTTTATACAAAGAAAGATTCCTTCCTGCCTGACGCCATGATGCATAAAAATGTGAACCCAAATCCAAGCCTAACATCAACATTTTCATGGGCCACGACGGATTCTTACATCCTCAGCATCGGCAAGCTTCTTCTCTACACCGACGCCAAAACCCATCGTCTTCTTTGCACCCTTCTTCTTAGCCCCGTATTCTTCATCAAACTTGCGGATCTGCTTGAGAGACTGCATATCCTCGCTGATGCTAGCCGGTATTTGGCGAAGGGCCTTATCGAAGTGGTCCTGGCGCAAAATACGTTTCTGAGGGTATTCATACGGCTCGGGACCACTGTGGCGTGCGGCAGCTTCATTCTCCTCCTCTACGGCAGCCATGGCGGCAGCGACGCAGGCATTTTTGAGGTCAGAACCCGAGTAGTATGGAGTTCGCTTGGCTAAACTTTCCAGTGAGACGGCAGGGTCGAGGGATTCGCCCTTGAGGAGGATCCTCAGAATGGCAGTACGGTCTGCGTGTAGAGGCAGGTCGACAAGCAGACGACGCGGCAGGCGGCGGAGAACAGCGTCATCGAGATCGAACGGACGGTTGGTGGCAACCATGATGAAGGCTTCCGTCTCCTCAAGGCCATCCCACTCTTTTAGAAACTGGTTGATGTGAGAGCGGTGCGACGCGCGAGCGCCGAGCATGCTGCGGTTTGCTAGTAAAGAATCGGCCTCGTCAATGAAGACAACACACGGCGATATCTTCTTGGCCAGCGTAAAGACTGCACGGATAAGTTTCTCGCTCTCCCCAACCCATTTGTCATTTATAGTTGCACCACTGATTTCGAGCATGTTTGCGCCGCTCTCCTTGGCAACTGCCTTTGCGAGCAACGTCTTGCCTGTGCCTGGAGGTCCGTACAGAAGACATCCAGGAATCTTATCTTGGGCGAGTACGCCATAAGAGAAGGCATCAGGTCGTACCAGCGCCAGGGTTGTGAGAAGCTTGAGAGCAGATATGGTTTCCTTGGGAACGTGAACATCGTCGAAAGTTGTTCTCAAGTTCTGGCGGTTGATGTGGCCTGATGATATCCGTTTCTCGTACTCGTTCAGCTTCATGGCTATCCGGCCGCCAGGTTGCGAATCTTCATCCTTCTTCTGCGAATCCTTGCCTTCGGTCTTACCGTCTTGCTCAGGCTCATCGAGGTATCGCTGCCCAGGCCTTTGCCTTAAAGGACCCATGAGAAGGCGCTCATACACTCCTCCTGGTGCAGCACCTGCGGCCTCTTCCTCGTGACGTTTTGCGGCGCATGCAATGTTGTACACCTCTGGTAGAGGAAGAATTGATTTCTTGAGCATCTGGGCTCGTGTGTCCGTAGCGTGCATAAAGATCTTCATGTGAGCGTCTGAGAGTTCAAGGGTACATTGGCTACCTAATGATTTTAGCATGCGGTTGATGTTTTGAACATTCTCCACGAAAATGTCTGTGTCCTGAAGAGCAAAATGGCCATTGTAAGTTTGTAAGCCGCCAGACGGTTTGGGTTGTCTCAGAGTGCGAGAAGGATCGATATGTCGAGAAATAACAAAGTCTCCGATTGAGAGGTCTCGAAGCGTGCTTTGATACTCCTCTGAAGGCTGCTCACTCGAGGACGTTCCCAGAATCGCAACCTTGGAACCTTGTTGCCAGGCTGAATCCACGATATTTCTTAATCTTGTAATGAGCATTGAACCCTCAAGCGTCATACTGAGTTCAATGAAGTCGTGGATATGGATGATAAGAGGCTTCTCACGCGGGGAGCCTTGCTTGATCTCGGCTGCTTGTATAATTTGATCCAGGACCTTGTCGATCTTGAGGTTCTCCCATTTGCCAAAGGGGTCATAGCCACCCTGCTTGATTTTGGAAAGCTCGTCTTCAAGCGAGCCTGAGGCTGCGCGAATGTTAATCACGCCCGTATCAGGGTCGTTGTCCTCCTCCTCGTGCCGTGTCACCACATCAGGATCCTTGTAAAGCTTTCCATTCATCTCTGCAGCACGGAATCCCATGTTCGAGAGTGAGCCTCGCGAATAAGCCCAGTCCTGGTCTAAATAGTCTCCTACTATGACGGATAAATCCTGGGCATTCAATTTGACCAGATCGGCATCGTTGAAGTAGGCGATGTGTTCTGCGACAGCCTCTGATATGGCTTGTCCACTATAGCCAGACATGGACAATAACGTAATCTGACGCTTGAGGTTCTTGGACTCAGAGTCAGGAGGAGGCGGTGTCGTTAATTCTCGGCGCAGAGCAGATCGAATAGAGGAGAAGGTGAGAATAGGTAGGTCGGCGATGGCTTGGGCTAGGGAGTGGTCAAGCCTCCAGTCATAGTCGAGAATGCTATCGAGGCCTGTCTGAACTGAAAGAAACTGGTCGCGAAACTCTTGAGCATGTCGGTCGAAATCCTTATAGTAGTGCCACCACCAGAATGGCTTTGAAGTGTATATATATTCTGCGTGTCGGGCAGGGTATAGCGAATCAGCCAGATGCCATGCTGAATCGAGCAGCATGTCGTAGGCGCGTGTGAGGCTCGTCAACTCATGAACGAGCTCCTCTGTGTGACAACTGGCATCGAGAGCAACAACAGCATTTACACGATCAGCAACTTTCTCGAACATGGCAGTGAATGTCGCATCGAAGTAGTCTTCAAGGGCTCTGTTGGATTCCGTTGTTCGAGTCTTCTTATCAGCGACCTGAGGATCGACAAAGACAGAGGACGTCTTTGGTTGTTTGGCATCTTCAGCGAGGGCGATTGGGAGCCGCGGTCTTCTCCGGGCATGGTGCAGAGTGACATTGTCGTCGAGGAACGTTTGTGGTAGTTTGACGGGGGGTAGCGCAGGAGCGGCATGTTTGCGAGCTATTCTGTTTTTCACAGAAGTCGAAGTTCGAACTCGTGAACGACCCGGTGCGGTCTCGGTTCCGTTCTGAGGCTGCACATCTTCTTCCTCTACAGCTGCCGGTTGCCCTGGTGGCTTATCACCATTGTTTGCACCTGCGCCTGCGCCTGTATCCCTCCAGGTTGACGACGTCTGAAATGATCGATAGCGTATTCGGTATTGGGCTTGTGATCTTGCGGCGATAATAGCAGGATTGATCAGGGCACGGAGCCCTGTCGATTGCATCCGGGCGAGTTTCTCGTCGGTTGGGACCGAGAGGAGAGAGTTGGAGACTATGGCGAGGCCTTTGAAGCTCAAGTTGCAAGGCTATGTCTGAGCTATGAGCCCTGTCACATCTTCCTTAACAATTTCCCCCAAAAGTTTCGTCAAAATCGGGGCCGGATTTTTTCAGTCGGCCGAATCCCGATCAAATTAGGGTCTGTTCTGATCAGGGCCAACGTTGACAACTGTCTGTTCTACAATAGAAAAGTGAAGAAATAAAAGGTTCTGTGACCTAGGGTGTATAGAGGCCATTCCTGTCTCTTTGCTTTCCCTATGTATGTCCTTGGAGGTCTATTGAAGAAAAAACTTGCAAGATTTACTATTGACGTAGGGTAGGTACTATCTAACACATTCTGGGGATCAACGAATACATGTACTGGTAGGTGCTAAAACACAACTGTAAATATGGTTTTGCTGATAATGTATATAATTACCTGTAGTAGGTATCATATCTCCTGGCACTGATCGAGTACATAATTTCAAGGAGATCACTGAGACTTTGTTTGGTCGATGACTTCAGATTCTATCGTTATCTCTAACTAAGTACTAACCTACTGGTCTATTTACCACTGGGCTTACGAGAATTTCAGAACGATGGTCCAACTTCACCAGTTATCTGGCCAAGAGAAACCGTCGGCTGCATAAAGTTACCTCGCAGAAACCGACGATCAAATGTCCTTTGGGCATAATCGTTAAAGATGCAATATTGTCGAGACTTTGATGTAGTGTACACTCGAAGACTTGACCGCAAGACACGATATAAGAAATCAGCTCTTTATGGGAATGATAATAACATAATGATACAACAATTCCACTGGGCTTTTTTGCACCTTGGAGAAGAGTCAAACTACGTAAAGCCAGGATACCCATTGCTACAGTATGCTCTCTCTTCCTATGGACTGATGTCTAGGCTGCTGGCTGATGAGCAGTAAGACGGGCTCTGAAGATTGCCGAATTTGGTAGCGGGCGTCGCCAACTCGACACTGGTTTTGAAATGTTTCGTTTCCAAGTAGATTATGCCTCGTGTCGAACTATGCAATATGGGGATATTGTCTGATGCATTTCTGAATGCTATGCAAGTGAGGAGGCTTGATGTTGGGCTTATTTGACTAAGGCTCAACAGCCTTGGAATACCTTGGACGATATTGGATTCCAGGGGCCTGTCTAGCCCGTCTACCCGAGTCCTACTCTACAGATCTTATCGTCATCATAGACTAGAGTCGTCATCCAGTCACAGTTGCGATGGAACTAACTTGGGGTGCTGCTAAGCCTTGTTTGGTCCTGAGACCTGAGACGCACGTACGCGGGGTTTCCACTGTCTGTTGGTGGGTGAGACCTTGTCATCAAGCAACTCATCTCATTCGACCTAACGTTAGCATGAAACTCAACTCACTCTTGTCATCTCACACATAAATCCGTTCTATCCGTCTGTGATAACCATGTTATAGTCTCAAACAGCCATGGACAACTCTCAGACCTCACTAGAGCAACACCAATCGGAAAGCCCAGAGGGATCGCCGCCTAATTACGATAACAATAAGCCCTACCATTCTAAACGACCTCACAAGAAGTCGCGAACTGGATGTCGCAATTGTAAAGCTCGCAAGGTTAAATGCGACGAGGCTCGTCCTGTCTGCCGATCATGCAGATTGCGCAAGGCTGATTGCGTGTATCCTACGCCCTCAGCCTCAACTGTTCCCTCTTCAAATAGCAGCATCACCAATTCTCCTCAACGACCGCCAGAACCCCTACCCGCTCCTCAGAATGCTCCTTCGCCAGACATCGTCTCTAGCTCTTCTGGCGATGAGCCTATGGAAGAAGTTGGGCCGTTGACCGTCTCGCCTGTGTTCCGCCATGGTCAAATGGACGTGACAGATATGAAATTACTTTGGTTCTATACAAGCTCAACGTGTACCTCTTTCTCTGTGGACCAGGGACCCTCGAACCCGATCAACGAGGTTCTAAGAAACAGAATGGTTCAGGTTGCCTTTGAGAACCCATTTCTCATGGATTCGTTGTTTGGTCTAGCAAGTCTTCACATGCAGAGTCTTGAGTTGAGCCATGACCCTGCACGTGCTCTCACCTATCGCGCTCGTTCCTTTGAGGGATATCGCCTGGCTGTGGAAAAAGCCCAGCCGGAGACGTTTCCGGCGTTGTTAGCCAATTCTCTATTGCTCACTGCTCTATCATCTCAAAACTTCCGCGATGAGGACGGTAAAAAGCTTTACTTAATCGATTGGATGATTGTCTGGAGGGGAATCGGCCTCGTCATTGACCTCATGGGCGTCGAGAAACTCATTGACTCAGGCCTCTATTGTTTGTTTAACAGACCTTCTGTCGATGTTGAGCAGGCCACAAACCACATTCCTGCTTGCCTTGTCTCCATGCTCAACTCCATTGAGCCCAGCGATCCAGACTATCTCAACGTGGAAACCTACTATGAGACACTTCAATTCCTCGGCTCTTTATATCAGAACTTACACGATGGTTTCGGGCCCACCATGATGCTGCGGATCATCACCTGGTTTACCTTTGTGCCCCGGAATTTCGTCCAGCTCGCACGCGAATTGCGTCCCCGGGCTCTCGTCATTCTCGCCTACTATGCGGCTTTTCTTAAGTTCCCGTCAGATGTCTGGTGGATAAAGAACGTTGGAAATCGTTCACTGCGAGATCTTTGCGAGCACATAGGCCCGGAGTGGCAACAATATCTTCTCGTTCCGCACATGGCACGCCTCGTTGAAGGCGAGCTCGAGCTTGGAAGAGTCTTGTTTGAAGACCCAAATTGGTCACCGCAAAAGCCCAACAGCCTACGATTAGACCCTACAGCATCTGTCACCCTTGTTGACGAGAAGGGAAGACGTGTGGAGTGGATACCTGCTGAGAAGAAGCTCGTACTCATGGATTCAAGAGGCCAAGTTGTAACAAAGGGAGAGGCTATCGAGAAATGGAGGACTGACATGAACTCTACCTTCACATTCGATCCGTGACCAAACATGGTGGACCATTTGACAGAATTAATAATACAGGGAGTCAGAAAGCAAGAGAATGATTGGGAACGGTTTATTGGATACCCGTGAGACTTAGTCTCCTTTTCAGCAAAAATAGAGTTATTTGCAATACATTCTCAAGTTACGCAATGCCATGTTATGAGTGTAGCCTCCTGAGGGAATGTATTGATAAACGAGAGTGTCTGCATTGGGATCTGAGGCGGGCATATATGAACATCTCCATTCCGTATAGATAGAGTAGGAAGCATACTTGCAGTCGCCAGCAATAGCCTATAGGTGATGGTTAATAACGCAGGAGTAGCAACTCCAGAAGTGCTCATCAGCCTTGTGATGCAGGGAGTCTTGCCATATTCTGACATGTCCACGTCTTCAGAGCCCGTTGCAGATTTCAACTCCCGAACCTTGCCGGAATCAGCTGAGCACACTTGCTGTTTACTGTTGATCCTTGTTCTTTAGCTGGTGAAGTCACCATATCCATCATGACATAAAACTTTGTCCGGTTGAGATTGTGTGGAAGATTGGATGCAAGTCTTGGATTCAAAGAAACACATGCGATGAACCTTGGATAAACCTGAAACTGTTTCATCTCGATAAATGTCATACTTATCAATATCAAGTCCAATTAATTCATGACATCTAATCGATGCCATTGGGTTCAGACTCTTGTAAGCTTTGACCAATCATGGACAAGGCGATTTCATCAAGTTCGTGCAAAACCGGCAACAAGGACAGAATAGATCACGTGATCCAGAAATGCACCAATCCAAGCCCGAGGCAAGAGTGACCCATCGTATGATTGCTCCCGTCTTGCTAATTCTGACATTCCCCGAATAACTCGACTTCTTCTCCACGAAACCTCGAACTCGCACTCGCACTCCACGCTCTCGAGCGCAACCAATTGAGCTTCTCTCCCGCTCGTCTCGTCATCGCCGATTACCTCACATAAACCGTTCACGATGCTGCGCACATCAGCCTCCAACCTGCTGCGCAAGAGCCTGGTGCGCAGCACTCCCGCCCTGGCCTCCCGAGCTGCCTCGACTCACGCCATCTCTAACCCGACCCTCGCCAACATTGAGAAGCGATGGGAGGGCATGCCTCTCCAAGAGCAAGCCGAGCTCTGGATGGCTCTGCGTGACCGCATGCAGTCCAACTGGACCGAGCTGACCCTCCAGGAGAAGAAAGCTGGTGCGTCACAAACTCTCCTCAACTGCGAAAATACCTCCATCCCGCCCGCGTAGCCGAGATCTCGGGTCACAATCACCTCAACACATCACAACATATGCTTCAGCCTTGCCGGTCATTGATGATTCACTCGGCAACATCTCAATTGCACAGCTTCAGCCTTGCATTGAACCCTCCACGAGCCTCAATTGCATCATGTAGAACCCAAGTACCCATTCGTCTTTCTGATTGGTAGATGGGGCTTCAATATAGCCTTTGCCCGTTACATCAACGGCCTATTCCCTGCATCACCATGTATAACTGCGTCACAACCATGAAACTAACTCAAACTCTCTCAACAGCTTACTGGATTGCCTTCGGTCCTCACGGTCCCCGCGCTGTCGACCCCCCTGGAACTGGTGCCCGCGTCGCCTGGGGTGTCTTCATTGGTCTCGCCGCCAGTGTCGCTCTCTTCGGTGCTGTCCGTGTTGTCGCCAAACCCGCTCCTTACACCATGACCCAGGAGTACCAGGAGGAGACCAACGAGTTCCTCAAGGTATGTTCCATCCTGTCTACATCGCATCTGGTCACCTGGCTAACAGCAACTTTTAGAACCAAAAATCCGATCCTTTCACTGGTATCACCTCTCCTGGTTATGCTGGCAAGGGTATGGTCCAGTCTCCCCCCAAGGGTAACTAAATTCAACACACAACATTGTTTCCTTTGTGCTAGAAGCTGGAGTGACTCTACGGAGACGTATTGATGTGTAAAAGGGCCTCTGGTGCGTATGGACATGACCAGAGGTTTCGAGGTCGCTCCAGAGATATCAAGTCCTCTTGGTGTAAATACTGTACTACAACAACGAAACCCGAGTCGAGTCATTTGTTTGATTGAAATTGTTCGCTTGCCTATCTCTGTGGGAGCATACACGAAGCTTGCCTGACCATTCTGTCTACATTAAATCCAGTTAATCAAAATAGTAATTGCTCCAATACGTCTCCCTCAGGGAGCAAGAAAACATTGGGCCTGATATAGGATGTCAAAATAAACTCAGTAAAAGGTATCCTAAACTTAGCTAAAGATACCCTAAATTTATACTAACTTACCTAAATCTTTTCATTATCTAGAGCTAAGGTCCCTGGTTTTCTTTCCTCCCTTAGGCCTCGTTTCCAATAATATTGAACTTAGCCACCGCTCTGTCCAGCTTCTCGATACTTTTCAAATGTGTTCTCGGGTTCCCCTATGGCTGGGTTCATCTCTTCTGCCTGCATTCTTCTGTCCACCTCAAACCGGCCGTCTTTGCCCCAGTATCCTGCCTTCTCCGTCCCCTTTACGCATGCCTCGGTGATGAGTACATAAGGCATCGGAGCATCAAACATGGGCTCTGCTAGGACACGTTCCATCTCCATCTTGAGACCTCGGGCCCCTGTTTCTGAAGCAGCAGCTCGCTCCGCGATAGCATATAATGATTTCTCTGTGAAGAATAACCGCGAAGGGTACGTCTCGAAAAGAGCGGTATACTGAGCAACAAGGCTGTTTTTGGGTTCAGTTAGAATACGTAAAAGATCTTCTTGAGAAAGCGGGCTAAGAGCACAGATATTGTGCAGGCGCCCTATCAGCTCGGGTATGAAACCGAAGCTTTGTAGATCAGCAGGAGTGGTGAGATCTAACGGCGTGAACGATGAAGCTGATTGAGGGTTGTGGTGAGGCAAATGCATATATGTTTCTGCCGGCAGGGTTTGCTTGTTGCCAGACATGGAGGAGCGTCCCCTAAGTTCTCCGCCGAACCCCATCGTCGGTCTTGCAACCCTCTTTAGGACCGCCTTGTCTAGCCCGACGAAGGCGCCGCAGAACACAAAGAGGATGTTAGTAGTGTCAATAGTATACTGGTCAACCTTGCCACCTGGAGGAGTCGCCTGAGGAGTCGAGGAAGATGGCCCGGATGCGCTATAGTTCGTTGTGATAGGTGGCGTAGATCGGGATGAGCGGTTGTCCTTGACATTGATGGTGATTTTTGTTCCCTCAACGAGCTTCAGCAGCGCCTGCTGAACACCCTCGCCCCCAACATCCCGACCAGTAGTCGTTTCGCGCCTTGCAATCTTGTCGAATTCATCTAGAACAATAATACCGTGCTCTGTTGCCTTGATGTCATAGTTGGCTTCGATAAGGAGCCGCTCAACGCAGGTCTCAACGTCCTGTCCTATGTATCCAGCCTGAGTGAAGGAGTTGCAGTCACAGATAGAGAAGGGTACGTTTATCTTTTTGCTTAGTGTTCTAAGTTCTGTCAGTTTGATCGTTTTCACAGTTGATAGGAGAAGACAGACTCTAGTATGTAGGTCTTGCCAACGCCCGTGGGGCCGACCAGAAGGAGGTTACTCTTGTCTATCTTGACGTGGTCGGGAACTGTTGTATCCTCTGCAACATAGAGATGGTCCATTGGGTCGTCATCGAATTCGTGGTTATCGTGAAGCGCACGGACCGACTCATTATGGCCCGGGAACTCATCTTTAAGAGTATCAGCAGCGTAGCGCCCAGGGATAGAACCATGTACACGCTGACCTTCGACAGGGTGCATCTCACGACGCTTCTGATGCAGTTCTCTGTCTCTCGCAAACCTCTGGCGCATTACCTTGTCCCGCCTGTTCCGGTCTTCGTGCTCATGTTGGTGTCTTCGCCGCAGATTCTGGTAGTGGTTGAAGATGGTTGCGCATATTGTCTTCTTAGCCCGGTCCTGGCCAACGACGTAGTCGTCCACTCTTTTCTTGAGATCGCGTGGGTAGAACTGCGGTACGCCAAAGTTGGTCTTGTTGAACATGGGGCCGCGCCCCGCATCGACTGATGGGTCATAGCTGCTGCTGAAGCCTGAATTGAAGTCGTTGTTGCGCCGTGAAGCTATAGAGGAGCCTGGGATATAGCGGTATTGTTGTCGTAATCGAGAATTGGAAGAGGATAGGCAACGTGTCGTAGTAGGTACCGGCCGTGTGACACAGCGCGAGAGATGGCAAAGACAGCAACGAGCGTTAGGGAGTGCCCTTACGAAGGGCATCATTATGAGATATATCCAGTTTGCATAATATTGAAGGATGATACAGAACGGAGCGTCAGGTGACAGTCGACTGAGTTGTAGTGTATCTGGGCCGACGATGACGGGATGCGGGGACCGGTTACAGCTTACTGCGGTCGTGCGAGAGCAAGGCCAACGATAGAGCCTATCGCTTCGATAGCATGGAAATAAATGGTTACAGCGAGATTGGTTATAGGACTGGCGTAGGGAGACGATGCTTCTATGGTTGTACCTTATTAGTTACGGAATGGAGGATTTTGTGATACCTACCGACCTACGCTTTTACTAACCTCCAGGTCCGAGACGGGGCCCTTCCGCCAACAGCGTCCGCTATCGGGGCCGGGTGGAAGCTTAGATAGGTACCTAGGCACCTTAACCTTAGAGCCCAGGCCATGTGTCTACTACTACGTAGGTACCAGGCATGGAGTTGCGCGCAGGAGCTGTTAGCGAGTAGCAACCACTGACAGGCCTAGACCGCAGCAGCGTCCCCGCTAAACAAGCCGGGCCGACATGGGGGATCTGATACTAGCCCCCGGCGTCCCCAAGCACACCCAAAGCGCAGACTATTTGCTCCATGAATTTGATGGGACCCGTCCGACCTGCACAATGATTCTCGCGCAACATCAGAAGAGTCTTTTACAGGAAGTGGCGATATTACGAGGCTCTCGGTTGGGTCCAGTGTCACCCACTCTACCACTCTCAACCACATGTTGAGCGTTGTAGGCACATAGACTGAAAATGCCTTCCATTTAAGGGACAGCGTGCAGATACGTACCGTAGCCGTTGGGAGAAATTCACCATTCGCGACGTCATCCCACTTATCGATAAAGCTCTGAGTGGGTGGGCAACCCGAACTGAAACTGAAAGGTTGGTCACCTTAGGCGAATGAGCTAGATAGGAGGTTGCAAGGTCTTTGATATTGCAGTTCTTCTTGTGTTGCCACAATTTTCTGATTCTTCATCTTATTTTTCAAGCCTCTTTTCATCTGGGAAGTTGCTTTAAGGTCCCTTGTGCTTCTGTGTCCATTCTTCATCTCCCCAATTGTGTCTCACTTGAAGCTCAACAATTGTCTGAAGCTTGCAACACCAATATCCTGACTACCCCGCCCACCTTGAGACCTCCCTCCCTTCTACAACCGCGTCGTATTTTCAATTCAACTTTGAAAAATGGCCGCAATTGCTGAAAACTCGTCCAATTCCTTGGACCCCAATCACTCTGGCGGCGGTGCTGCGGGTGACATCCCCAACGACGGTACTGGTAAGTCTACGCATGGCCTGACATGTGATGATCTGATAGTCAAGAACACCACGCTCACAATGTATTCTAGGCGTTGTGAAGCTCGATCCTTGGCTGGAGCCCTTCAGCGAAGCCCTCAGAAGACGTTTTTCTAAAACTCAAGATTGGATCAAGACCATCAACGACACCGAAGGTGGCCTTGAGAAGTTTAGCAGGGTAGGCTTCCAGCTTCCCATTCGGCGAGTCGCGTTACTGACACTTGTTGTCTCTAGGGCGCTGAGAAATTTGGCTTCAACGTCGATGCTGATAACAACATTATCTACCGTGAATGGGCGCCTAATGCCACTGCCGCGTTCCTGATCGGCGACTTCAGTACGTCTCCAAACTCAATCGTGTATACAATGTGCTTACACTATTTGCCTTAGATAGCTGGGACCGCAATGCTCATCCCATGGCCAAGAACGATTTCGGCGTCTTCGAAATTACAATTTCTGCCCAAGGTGGACAGCCTGCCATTCCTCATCTTTCCAAAGTCAAGGTGGGCTAAAATCCAGACACAATTACAACACATGACATCTAATATGTCTCCCTAGATCTCGCTCAACTTGCCCAATGGTGAGCATGTTGATCGACTCCCGGCTTGGATCAAGTACGTGACACAGGATTTGTCTGTGTCTCCCGCATACGATGCTCACTTCTGGAATCCTCCAGCCTCCGAGACATACAAGTTCAAAAACGCCCGGCCCAAGAAGCCTGCAAGTGTTCGTGTGTATGAGGCGCATGTCGGAATTTCCAGCCCTGGCCAACGGGTTGCTACTTACAAGGAGTTTACCAAGAACATGCTTCCACGAATTAAGAACCTAGGTTACAATGTGATTCAACTGATGGCTGTGATGGAACATGCGTACTATGCCAGCTTTGGCTATCAAATCAACAACTTCTTCGCTGCTAGCAGTCGATACGGTACTCCCGAGGACCTCAAGGAGCTCATTGATACCGCACACGGCCTCGGAATTACCATGCTACTCGATGTTGTTCACAGCCACGCTTCCAAGAACGTGCTCGATGGCATCAACGAGTTTGATGGTACCGATCACCATTACTTTCATGGTGGCGGCAAGGGCCGACACGATCAATGGGATAGCCGGCTTTTCAACTACGGCCACCATGAGGTGATGCGGTTCTTGCTCAGCAACTTGCGTTTTTGGATGGACGAGTACCAATTCGACGGTTTTCGATTTGACGGAGTTACCAGCATGCTATATGTTCATCATGGCATGGGCACGTAAGTGACACTATCACAAATCTTATTGGCCTGTCGTGCTAACATCATCAGGGGCTTTTCCGGTGGCTATCATGAGTACTTCGGCGCAGATGTTGACGAGGAGGCTGTTGTTTATATGATGCTTGCAAATGAAATGCTGCATGCACTCTACCCAGAGGTCATTACCATTGCTGAAGATGTCTCTGGTATGCCGGCACTTTGCCTGCCACTTTCTCTTGGTGGCGTGGGATTCGACTACCGCCTTGCCATGGCCATTCCTGATATGTGGATCAAGATTCTGAAAGAACTCAAGGATGATGAATGGGACATTGGCAACATCTGCCATACTCTTACCAACCGTCGACACGGCGAGAAGACTATCGCCTATGCTGAGAGCCACGACCAGGCGTAAGTTAATGCTCCTTTGACTTGTTTCACTTTAAGCCACTAACATGCACAGGCTTGTTGGTGACAAAACACTCATGATGCATCTGTGTGACGCTGAAATGTACACCAACATGTCTACTCTGTCGCCCCTGACTCCTGTCATTGATCGTGGTATGGCACTCCACAAGATGATTCGACTTGTGACACATGGCCTCGGAGGAGAGGGATATCTGAATTTTGAGGGTAACGAGTTTGGTCACCCCGAGTGGCTCGACTTCCCGCGTGAGGGCAACAACAACTCATTCTGGTATGCTCGGCGACAGCTCAACCTTACGGATGACCCCTTGCTCCGATACAAGTTCCTGGATCACTTTGACCGCTTGATGAACCAGACTGAGGCCAAATATGGTTGGCTCCACGCGCCACAGGCGTATATCTCATTGAAACATGAAGGTGACAAGGTCATTGTGTTTGAGCGCGGTGGTCTGGTCTTTATCTTTAACTTCCACCCAACCAACAGCTTCAGCGACTACCGTATCGGAATTGATGTCGCAGGAACTTACCGTGTCGTTCTCAACACAGATAGCAAGGATGTTGGTGGTCACAGCCGTGTCGATGAGAACACCCGATTCTTCACTACCCCTATGGAATGGAACAACAGGAAGAACTGGACTCATATCTATATTCCCTGCCGAACTGCTTTGGTAAGTGAACCCGGGTTTTAAATGATTGTTTGCGTTTCCTAACATGATCTTGCAGGTTCTGGCTCTTGAGTCCACAATTTCCCAGCAGTCCTGAGTATGGAAGATGAGAGATGGAAGCCAGGGTCGTGGTGAAGCTGCAAGAAGTATCTGACTAGAGTGATTCCTTCATTTGGCGGGGACTATTACAAAGTGCGCTGTTATTGATTGAGACCGTTGATGTGTCTCTGGTTTGTTTTGTTTCGCAGATATATTATAACATCTGAAATAATAAAAGTCAACACTCAAGAACAACAACTTCAGTGTCCCGATGTCTCTTTTACCAGCCGCAAGACATTAATCATTGATCTTACAGCAAATAAATCCCTGGATGCTCAACCTGACGACATCCAGACTAGCTTCGGAACCGGGTTTCAAATAACACTTACATCCAGGACACTGCTTCGACTTCAACAATTGAGCCAATTCTACTTATACCTAGTACTTTGAGGCTATCGCAAGACAAGTCTTTTGCAACTCCCTCTAGGAATCGATGTCTCTTTTCTTTCATAGCCCCTTTATCATTGCGAGGGCCAATTGGTTGTAGTCTATCCGTATGAAATCCCAAGTTCTCTTTATTTGGTGTTTTTTTTTTTTGCAATTTGGCTGTGATTCGAGCTGGCATTGGGTAGCACTGGCAGCTCAAATATTCCACTGCCACCTCCTAGTCTGTTGATCGGTCCGCTTGTTGTATAATAATCTGCTTTCGTTCTGAAACCTTGATCATCATTCTTTTCTCTTTAAGCATCACAAACAACTTCGATATGTGCCCTCATATTTCGCCGCGCGATTTCGGCACTCGCAGCGCCTGGCTATCGTTTGCGCAGTATCTATTCGATTCTCCCCCCCCCTATTCTGGGAGTCTCTACATTGCCGAGACGGCAAAGTATGTTATTTTCGCCGCTCGAAATGACGATTTACTGACTGCATGCAGGACCACTACTCAAAACCCAGCCTAGCCCAAGCTAGGGGAGGAAAGAAAACACAGGACCTCGATCCTAAATGACAAAAAGACTTAGGGCAATATAGCCTAAGTTTAGGATGACTTTTGCTAAGTTTATCTTGACACCCTACAGTGAGGCTCGCCGTTTTCTTGCCCCCCGAGGCCATGACGCCCCGGAAGGGTGTTGGTGGCGATAAAGTCGAAAAGAAGACTCCCACTGGAAAGAAAGCCGACAAGGACAAGACGCCCAGTGACGGGAAGAAAGGGCCGGCCAAGAAGGATGACGCTGCGTGAGTTCGCCTTTTGTTTTCTTGTTTCGCATTTGCTAATGTCAACTTACCTAGCGACGTCCCCCCCGCCGTGGAACGGTATCCGCCTTGCAGACCATGCCTCAAACGCGCGCTTCACGGCAGAAGCGATGGGACTTGCATGCAGAAGCCGAACAAGCGCCGTTACGAGCGGTGTTCTTGTGGCGGCGAATGCTCCGTGATGTGAGTTTCGAGATACTGTTTTACACTTCGTTTTGCTAATCTGCATCGCCTTTAGTCCTCCCAAGACGAAGGACGTTTGCCTCTTCTTTCTGGCCTACCACCACAAGCATCCCACTGTCAACGATGAAGATTCGGACGCTGAGACCAGTCAGACTGTTAGTATTTTGCGCCGCAAATCGGTATTTCAAGCCTTGCTAATCAATTTGACCTTTAGGATATCGCCAAAGAGAAGCGAAACCGTCGTATCGCTGCGAAGACCGTTCTGAAGGGCTATGACGCGGGAGGAAGAAAACAGGACCTTGATCTTAAGTGATGAAAAGACTTAATTACTTATAGTATAAGTTTAGCCTAAATCTAGCCTAAATTTAGGATATTTTTTGCTGAGTTTATTTTGATACCTTATATTAAGATCTGATACCTATTTTCTTACTCCCTGAGGACGGCTCAGGGGGAAGAAAAAAGGTAGAATGAGATAACTGATTGGCAAACCTCAGGCAAAATTTAAATGGGCCACCTAAAACTTGCAACTAACTACCTATGTAGTTAGCAACTAGCAATTGCCTGTTGTTATTGGTTTGAACCAGGACCATCTCGTCGTAGTTGATAGACTGACCAATAGGGTTAAACACCCGAGGGAAGAAGATGGGATGCAAGATGGTGATCCCTGACTGGTCATGTTGCCCCAGTAAAGCTTTGAATTAACAGCATCTCTTGTTGAAAAGAACGTGGATGAGGCTGGTGGTGATTGAAATCATGATATTGTAATGGAAACGTAAATCAATCATACCTTAGTATAATAATCAACGCATTGATTTGATCAGACCGCGCTCTTTATCTCCACTGAGCCCGGTATTTATTTATTACGCAGTACTTCCGTGGTTTTCCAGATCATCAGCCAATCCATCTTGAGATTCCACCACCATCTCATTGAACTCAGCAGCAGACAGGTACGGGGTAAACTAAGCCAGGTTAATGCTACTTTCCCCGCTCTGTTTTGAATGATCCCTCTCAATATGGCATCCAGGGGTTTCTAACTGCAAGATCACTGATGCCCTCAGCTTCAACAATTGAGTCAATTCTACGTGTAGAGCCAAGGATGAGATAAGTGGCTTAAGATTCAGCTTCGGGTATGAATCGATGCTCAGTCATTCACCCTTCTCCGGCGACAGAGTAGAGAGCACCAAATTCGCTGTCGTTGTCCCTTCTAAGGAAGAATGGATCTGTCCATTAAGTTGGAGATGACCAAAGCCATTCAATTATGCCTGCAGGATCACCTACAACGAATAAGGACTCAATGACGATTGCAAGGCATCTCTCCCTCTCTCTCTCCACTGCCGCTGTTTACACTGGTTTATATGGCCCCCAAAATACCTGGCTCTGTTCACAAGTTAGAGGAGGAAAGAAAACCCAGGACTTATAGATAAATTAGTATAAGTTTAGTCGAGTTTAGGATATCTTTTGCTAAATTTATTTTGACACCCTAATATCAAGTTCCAATATTTTCTTGCTCCCGAGGACAAGGTGGGAGCGCCAGGCCTGCGAATAATCCCGTCATGTTCATCCCGGGAAATTGCCGGCATCGCAGCTTCCCCGGCGGGGCCAGAGGTAATTTCGGGCTAGCGTTCCACGTGACACGCTGCGAAAGCTCTAACCGACCAAGTCGTCCTCCCGAGGAAAACTGCTCACCTCCCGTAAAAGTTCTCCCTCAGCTTCAACCAACCTCTCTCCACTCCCATCTCTGATCGCTCTTTGTCATCTGGCAAGATGTTCAAGAGGTGAGTAACGATCGCAAGAACGAATGTCGAAGATTTTTCGATGGCGTTTCCCTCCAATTGAAGCCCAATTGAGCTGACCCTTGTGTTTTTCCCTCGGCAGCGGCATTTCCTCCTTCGCCCGCGCGGCTCGCCCGGCCGTCCTCCCTCGACGTGCCCTCCGACCTTCAGCTCTCCGACTCCCCATTTCCAGCCGATGGGCGAGCACTGCCAGCGTCGGCACCGGCAAGATTCACCAGGTGAGAACGAGCCGCTCCTCAGTCAATTCCGGTCGCCCGGGCAATACCGACCGCACAAGAACTCCGTGCTAACCCGACTGTTCGCAGGTCATCGGTGCCGTCGTCGACGGTTAGTCAATCATTATCACAAGCTCTCGGCGAGCCTGGCACAAGACAGCGAAAACAATACTGATGTTTTGTAGTCAAGTTCGATACTCAGAAGCTCCCCGCCATTCTCAACTCTCTTGAGACTGAGAACAATGGCCAGAAGCTCGTTCTTGAGGTTTCCGTACGTTCACATCCAAATACCTCATATGACTGGTCAATTCTAACATCCTCAAGCAACACTTGGGAGAGAACGTCGTCCGCTGCATTGCTATGGACGGTACGTTCTGATCGCTTCGAAATTTCTCATACTTCAAACCCCTAACGCATTCTTGCAGGTACTGAGGGTCTCGTCCGAGGTGCTTCCGCCCAGGACACTGGTGCTCCCATCACCATTCCTGTTGGTCCCGCAACTCTTGGCCGTATTATGAACGTCACTGGTGACCCCATTGACGAGCGCGGTCCCATCAAGACTGACAAGCGCCTTCCTATCCACACCGAAGCCCCCGAATTCGTCGAGCAGTCCACCTCCGCTGAGGTTCTTGTCACTGGTATCAAGGTCGTCGATCTTCTTGCTCCCTACGCCCGTGGTGGAAAGATTGGTCTGTTCGGTGGTGCTGGTGTCGGCAAGACTGTGTTCATTCAGGAGCTCATCAACAACATCGCCAAGGCCCACGGTGGTTACTCTGTCTTCACTGGTGTCGGTGAGCGAACCCGTGAGGGTAACGATCTGTACCACGAAATGCAGGAGACTTCCGTTATTCAGCTTGATGGCGAGTCCAAGGTTGCCCTGGTTTTCGGTCAGATGAACGAGCCCCCTGGAGCCCGTGCCCGTGTCGCTCTTACCGGGTAAGTTGATAGATAGTGCCTTCCCTTCCTGTTTCAACACCTCAACACCACCACTCCCTAAGACATTGCTACTCATACTGCACCATGATATTATATTTACGCCTCTTGGACGCTAGCTAATGTTATATCTCGACAGTTTGACTGTTGCTGAGTACTTCAGAGACGAGGAGGGTCAGGACGTGCTGCTTTTCATTGACAACATTTTCCGATTCACTCAGGCCGGTTCCGAGGTGTCTGCCCTTCTCGGTCGTATCCCCTCTGCCGTCGGTTACCAGCCCACTCTGGCCGTCGACATGGGTGGTATGCAGGAGCGTATTACCACCACCACCAAGGGTTCCATTACCTCAGTCCAGGCCGTCTACGTCCCTGCTGATGATTTGACTGATCCTGCCCCTGCCACCACTTTCGCTCATTTGGACGCCACCACTGTCTTGTCTCGTGGTATCTCTGAGTTGGGTATCTACCCCGCTGTCGACCCTCTCGATTCCAAGTCCCGTATGTTGGATCCCCGAGTTGTTGGTCAAGAGCACTACGACGTCGCCACCCGTGTCCAGCAGATCCTCCAGGAGTACAAGTCTCTTCAGGATATCATTGCCATTCTGGGTATGGATGAGTTGTCTGAGGCTGACAAGCTTACTGTCGAGCGTGCCCGTAAGATTCAGCGTTTCCTGAGCCAGCCTTTCACTGTTGCCCAAGTTTTCACTGGTATCGAGGGTAAGCTCGTCGACCTGAAGGAGACTATCAACTCCTTCAAGGCCATCCTTAACGGTGAAGGTGACAACCTTCCTGAGGGTGCCTTCTACATGGTTGGTGACTTCGCCTCCGCCAAGACCAAGGGTGAGAAGATTCTTGCTGAGCTTGAGGGTCAGTAGGGGGTTTAAGTATTGAAGTTAATGCTGCGGGAGACGGGAGGAGAGCAATGGCAGACATGTTTTCAGGGAAGGGGAACAAAAGTCCTGAGATGTTTCTCACGAGCTCTACCAAGTCTCCTTTGTGAGCTGTGTACTAAGAAATCAACAAAATTCCTCTTGTAGCCATATCAAGCTTTCTTTTTTTACCAAACGTGAACTATTCTGACTTGTCTGTGATGTGATGAATGTCCTCTAGGAGCAAGAAATACCAGAGCTTATTATTAGGTATTTCCTAAACTTATACTATATCACTGAAATATTTTACAACTGAGGATCAAGATCCTCAGTTTTCTTTTCTGCACCAACATCCAGTCTATGCCACAGTTGGCTTATTTCATTTCGAGTATTCAAGATACGTGCTTCCATACCGATTTGAGATTTCCTATTTACCGGCCTCAGATTCCAAGGCGGACTTTTGCTCATTTATCAATATGTTCCTTCAGGACGTCTCAGACCACCATTAGACCACCCAACGATCACTTAATTCTATCTTCTTAAACGACAAGGCACAAAGCCAACACTGTTAATTAGGTGATATAATTTACCAACCACCGTCGGTTGCTGTTGAGCGGAACCTCAGAATAAAGGAGCCTCTAAACCCCAAAGCAAATTCTCCCAATCCATTCCCTCCAAGTCCATATTCAATCCCATGTCGCTCAGCTCTTGGACAGATGCTATGGCATCATTCGGTGTCGTGTCATTTGACAACATGGCAGTTGACGAGCTTGGTGTAGGTGGAAGATTTTCACATCTCACCGGTCTCTGCCTCTCCTTGCCCACTGGCAGCGTCACTTTATGCTTCTTCATCACCTGTGTCAATAGATCTTGTATGCGAGCCGTGGGTCTGGAAAGTTCTTTGGCCGCCTCCAATATGTCCCATGCTTCCAACAAGTCTTCTCGTCTTTGTTCTTTCTCGTCGGCATCGGTGCCTAGGCAGAAGTCCAAAATAAGAACAATGCTAGCGATGAATACACTATGCAAGACTAAACATAACCTGAGCCGTGTCGAGTTGAAAGTTGTAGCTTCCTTCTCGAGTTGGTGTTCTGTTTGTATGACCATGCGTGCTGAATCAAGACACACGCGCCGGGAGCGAGCATACGTAGGCTCGACTGCGCCACGGGCTAGATACGGGAGATGAAGTTTGCATCTTTGGCCATGGACAAAGACATTCATGACATGACGCTGAATAATCAGTCCTGGTCTTTTATGCGTTTCTGTAGGAGGTAGTTGCTGTAGGTCATCCGTATTAAACTTGAGGAACGGGGGCAGATCTTCAATGAATTGCTCGATGGCCGCATCAACCTCCAAAACAAGGTCGTATGAGTGGACATCTGGGTTTGAAGAATTTGTGAGAGGTACTCGGTCAGTGAAGTTGCGGACGACCTCAGCGAGCCGTACTCTCTGCAAGAAATAAGACATGTTGGTGGCACAATTTATTGGCTTTCCCACCAACTCTTG